CCGGCAACCACATCCCAAGAACTTGCTGGGCTGCTATCCAGACCTCTCTGCCGCAGTTCTCTGAAAGCCACAGTGGTGCTTGGTTTTGGTTTAACCAGCTTTTCAAACTTTACATTAAAGAGGTTTAGAAACCTTTGTTCAGATGGGAGAAGAATAGAGGCAGCACCTTTCAATACACGTTTTTTGGAATCTATCAGATTGGAAGGCAGGCAACTACTTTGTTTGCAGGATCAATCATTTGGGGGAAACACAAAGAAGGGGGCTCTGGAAGGGGTTTGCTGTGATATTCTCAGGGAAGCCTCAGTCTCGGCCAAGGCCTAGAGCCTTGGCCATCTGCACCTAGGACTAGGGTCTGGTGTCACTGAACTCACACAATCAGGCCATTCTCCTAGCAAGGAGGCAGAGCTGCACATAGCCAAGAGAAGCAGAGGTGCTGCTGCTGCTGGCTTTGGAGTAGGAATTAGCTACTCATTCCAGCAACGCTGTCCCAGCATGCCTCCTCATGTGTACGATGGGTAAAATGCCTTCTTCCTCACCTGCTGATGGCAAAATCTCAAGTCAACACCCACGGATGTGAAAGCATCTATGGCTCACCTGTTTTATTAAGTGTAGGGAGCAAAGCAGTTTCCACAGGGGTCCTCGGGAGGGAAGCGGGCCAAGGCCAGCTATTCTAACCAAGGGGTGCCCAGGGCTGCTGGGGAGGACACTGCTCCCTCACTCCTTCTATAGCTGTGGGAAGGAGGAGTTTCCATTTCCTACCCTAGGAGAGAAATCCACGGCGCGAATCCTTGGCTTGGCCAGGCACCCTCTTGTTCAATCCTGCCCAGAGGAGGAGGAGGAATGCCCTCCGGGGGAGTCTGGGAGAAGGAACTGAGCTGCATCACCCCTTCCAGCTCCCTTTTGGGAGCAGCCAGCGCAAGGCCCTCCCGCAGCTCCTCCTTGCTAGGAGTTTACGGGCAGCTCCATGCTGGAGACACCTGCCATTGTCCACTTACTCCGAGTGGAGGAACGCAGTCTTCACATTCTCAGGTGAAGTGTTTGCAACATTTGCCCTCAGGTCTAATGCAATATTCTCCTTTCAGGCTTATCAATAAACACTTTTATCTCATTTGACTGTCCCCTGGGCTTTATTTCCCAAATGATACTAAACTTGAGAAGGGGAAACACAGTAATTTAAAGCCTCTCTAAACTGCAACATCCTCCAAGGCAGGAATAGGCATTCTCAAGTTGATACTTTTGAATTCTTAAAGAAACTACATGATCAGGAGGCAGAGGCTAACTAAAAACCTATTTACTTTGCTCTGACAAGCTGAGTGGCCTAACATATGTCTGCTTTAGAAAACAAATGAATTATTAGCGAGTTTGGTTTGTTGACAAAATACCTTTTTTTTTTTTGAGACAGGGTCTCGCTCTGTCACCCAGGCTGGAGTGCAGTGGTACGATCTCAGCTCACTGCAACCTCTACCTCCTGGGTTCAAGCAATTCTCATGCCTCACCCTTCTGAGCAGCTGGGATTACAGGTGCCCACCATAACACCCGGCTAATTTTTATATTTTTAGTAGAGATGGGGTTTCACCATGTTGATCAGGCTATTGACAAAATATTTTTTAATTATAGTGTCCAAGTTGGGACTATGAGGTGGACTATGACTGATTATGAAGTGCCTATGACTATGAAGTGGGCCTGGAGATGAAGAGGGAGCCTCTGTGGGGCCCTGGGAGTGCTTGGAGCCTACTTCCCTCATTGTCTTTATCGCTCCAATTGGGCCTGCCCATCTGCTGGTCTGTCTCATCAATATGCCCCACAATGGTGGGGACTGAGAACTTATTCATCTTATACACGGCATCTTACACATGGTAGGTCTCCATAGACAGGTGAATACATGCATACTTAAATGGAGGAATGATCACAGCCTGGAAGGAGGAACACTCCACTGAGAGGAGGGCAAGGCAGCACCTTCTCTCCCCTGGTAGTAGCAGCTCTTGCCTCAACACTAAGCTCCCCTCTTGCTAGCCCCCACTGCAGAGCTGTTGTCAGAGGTCTCTGTGGAGCCGCCCTGGCTAGCTGCACAGGCACCGGCTTTGCCGGGTGGAGAGATGAAGGCAACAGTCTCAACGGTTTCCATCCCCACTGGCAAGCGAAGTGTTCTTAAAGAACGAAATCCACAGAAACACAGACCCAAGGCAAGGATATTTTTTGAGGTTAAAATAGGTGCTCTCTCTGGCTGGTTAAGATTATTTTGCCAGGGCGGGGTACAGCTGCTTTAATAGACATATCACATGCAGTCCCTGCTTGGTTTGAGAGCTGGTGTGGGCTCGAGGTGAGGTGTCTGGGCTTGGGTTTCCAAGCTGGTGAAGTGGCCCTGGGCAGGTTCTTTCATGTCTGTGAGCTCCAGCTCTAGGTCAATAAAATACGGCTAATGGTCCCTTCCTCAAAGGGATATGGTGGAGACAACAAAAAAGATACTGAGGAGTCTGTTGGTTTCCAAAACGAGAATATATACCATTAGGGCTACGTGAGTGCATTAGGTGATCCATAGATAAACACTTCAAATTGTTTTCTACGTTAGAAAACACTTGTACTAGTATATCAAACCTATAATTTCACCAATGGCATCTCTGAAGATGAGGCTAAGATGCTATAGATGTCAAGTCTGAGTCTTGTTTAAAGAAGACTATCAAGTAAAAAAAATAGTATAGATGATAGAGGGTGTGGTAAAAACTTTTGAAATGAAACTCAAGAGACTGTTCTTTGGGAAGAATATCGAGTCCTTAAAACTCATTCCTGCCGGCAGTAGGTGTTCTAGAAACGGTACTTGTTATGGTCAACGGCCCATCAAACCAGGGACCCGGGAAAAGACTCAAGGACAACATACCATGAGGGCAAAGCTGGAAAGAGTTAAAAGAAAGGGGTCTGTGGTTTCCCTGGCTCAACCCCCCTCCCCCTGCAGCTAATCTGTCACCTAATGAAGAAGGGGCCGGCACAAGTGAGCTAGCTGGCAGTTCACTTACAGCAAACTGATTAAGAATGTTCAACCAACAGCAGACTGTAGACCTTTCCAGAGAAAATAAATAGAGTGTAGACTGTATGCAAATGTGTTTGTCACTTTGACAGCACGTCTCAATTAAGGCATCTCGCGGCTGTGGGTAGGCGCTGCGGCTGCAGCTGGAAGGGAGAGTCTGCTGCATGGCTGATACTAGGGGCTTGACCTTAATCCGCATGCATGCATTAAAAAAAAAAAATCCTGCCTTCCTGTACACTTGCATAATGCTGGCAGCCACGTGAGGGAAGTGACAAACGGGGAAAAAAAGCCACTTTCATCCTCTCCAGTTTGCAGACCGGTGAAGGCACAGACAGCTCTTATTTCAACAGAGTTTGGGGTGGCTTTTTTCATTGTTTATCCCCACCCGTGCACACACACATACTCTTATTCTGCATTTAGCTGGGAATGACATTAAAGAATCTCTACTTCTGGCTAAAATGGAAAGAAGGTCTTTCTCCATTTCAAATAGGGCCTCCTTTTTTTGTGTTTCGAAAATGGAATGTTTAACACCATGAAATCCCTCTCCCCCGCCCCCTCTTTCTCTGTAATGGGCTCCAAACTCCAGTGAGGGGCTCCTTTCATGGGAAGGTTGGTGTGTGCAGGAATGAGGACAAAGGAAGGCAGGAAGCTGACTCTGGAATGCCACGCTGGCGACAACCAGGGGCTGCGCTTTCAGCGAACACAGCCAGGGAACTGGGGTGCGGATTTCTCCAACAGGGCCTGCGCCTGGGGCTGGGGGGAGGCAGCTCTTCAGGGGAGCAGACACCAGTGCAATTTGAAAATACTCATTAACTAAATGAGTATCACCCTGTGGATTCTTCTTCCTTGCATTTCATTTCAATTTTTATAACATCCTTTTAAGTATAAAATCAGAAAAGAACCTCCCCAAGTTAAAGATGTATAAACATATATTATCTGAAAATATTGATTAGAGAAGAGTGACTTTTATGTTCCAACCAACTCACCCCTTACAGTAATAACCTAGAGCAAGAACTTTCTTAGTTTCGTTCATTTCTGAATAGCTCAATGCCTGGTGCATAGTAGGCACTTGATAAAGGTCTGTTAAAAACAGGAATGTAGGCTTCTAGGTCCTTTACACGTGGTGAAATAGCAATCACATTTAAGATAAAAATCATAAAGACTCTTAATCATGCGTCATCTAATAAATGGCTACAGAATCAGGTGATTTAAAAATAAATAACCTTGCAAACTCTTGTTACAGCCATATCTTGCCAAAAGAGCCATTTCTCATAGATCTCTCCAAATGATGACTTTCACTAACCAAAAGTCAATTCAAGAGATGTAGGAAAGGGTACACAATCCTTTTTAACCAAAAATATAATTACAAGTAGGAAGGGGATACAAAATTTTAGCTTCTATACAGACTGCAATGTTTTACTTAAGGGAAAAAAATAGACAATTTTTCAAATGCTCTGGTAGTTGAAAACAGTTGCTTAAAAAACTGAATCTCTAGAATTGTAGTGCGGGTGTTTACTCTCAGAAGCACAACTCCTGATATTGATTTTCAGGAAGTACATTAATAAAGAACTCCTAATTGATTTTTTTTTTTTTAAAGACTTCGCTTGTTGCCTTTTATTTGAAGTGTGCAAAGAAGGGCCCGGGATGCTAAAGTGTTCTAATGAGATGCTTAGCTAACAGAGGCACCTTAAGCAGAGTGCCTTGGAGTAAGGGAGGCAGCAGTGCATTTAATGACTTCATTCAACAGTCCCGCTCATTTATGACCTCAGCCGTGCTGTCTCCTCAAAATTTTTGAAAATTTGCCTGCAAAACATGTTTGCACCAAATAAACATTTAAAGATGTGAAAACCTCCGTGGAGCTGCACTGCCAAAGAGAACTGAAATGAAACACTGTCTGCTGCATGTGCTACAGCTGCTGCTAAAAACGAAAATTAAAAAAAAAACCCAAACAGACAGGTAGGAGGGCCAGGGTACACACCTGTCCAAAGTGGACTGTGATTGGCCGCCGGTCTTCTCGGAGCTTGGGGTCCTTGGCCTCCACCAGGGGGGACGGTGCAGTCTTTGGCAGCTGCTCTTCTGGGGTGGGGGCGCAGCCGTTCTCAGCAATGTCCTGCAGGGAGAAGGAGAGTCGAGGGTTGGCATTGGCGTTCTGGCACCTGTGTTCCCTCTCACCCCACAAGGAAGAGGCCTGCCACATGACTCTCTCTGTGACATTCTGAGCCTGTCCTCCTGATGAAGATGGGGGGAATGGAGGGCTAATTTGGCTCTTTGACTTTTCAGAACTAGAGAAACCCAAACCATCCATGTTAAACTATAAAGATAACACAATAATTCACAACAGTGGGGAAAACAATTATTATGGTTCATCTTATTCTCTTACGCGGCTATTTTCATTTTTATATATTCACTTTGTCCACATGCAGACATTTAAAAATTACTTGCAATCACAGCTCATGCATAATTTTATATCCTGCTTTTCCCAATGTATTACAAGCATTTTCATGTTGCTACAAAGTCATTACAAAAATAATTTTACTAATGCATATTTCACTGAGCGGATATACAATAATTTAATATAACACAATTCAGTATTCCACTACTATTGGGCATTTAGGGTTCTTTCTAATTTTTTTTAAACGTTTGAAATGCCAGTGATAAATACTGCAGTTTTTCTTTCTTTCATATTATTTCTTTTTATGGAAATCCCCAGGAATGAAATTACTAGGTCAACAGATATAAACATTTTCAAGGCTTTTTATTCATTCTATCAAATTGCTTTCCAGTTTACACCAACTACCAACAATGGATGCATTACCAGTTTCACGGTATTTGTGAGCTGTATCATTTTAAAAATGTATCGCTAATTTAATAGATGAAAAATTCGACTTCATTGTTGCTTTAATTTGCATTACTTTAACTATGAGTATGGACACTTTTTCCACATTTGTTTACTGATGATGTGAATAAGATGTGTTTGTTCCTACCTCTTCCTACCCCTAATCTTTCTGGCAGAAAATAAAAAGATTGAAGTCTGAATCAGCACTCTTTGACTTGGGAAACATTTAGGGACCAAAGAAATCTTTTTAAATCCAGAAATTTACATTTAATTTGTGCTTCTGATGACTGAAGTCAAATTATCAGGAAAAGGAAAACCCCAATGTGCAAAAGGCAGGTCACGGCTCTGGTGGCTGAAGCCGGCAGCTGACTATACACACCGGTCATTTGGAGCCTGGATGGGGCCACTCATGCATCAAGGGTCCCGTGTTTTACTCAAGTCAAGGAAGTTGCTTCAGTCTTCATTGGAACCAGGCGGAGAATACATGTACAAATAAATATTTAAATAATCATTTTTCTTACCAAATAAAAATAACTCAGCCAGAATTATATAATGAACACAAGTTCCAATTATTTTCATTGCAAAGCAAATACTTTGGTCAACAAAACATATCCCCTTAGTACTGATTAAATTCTGCACATGAGAAACTTGATACTTGGTTGCTCCTAACTTCTCAGCTAAGAGAGAATGGTGGGACATGGAGGAAAGTGGTCCCTTATTGAAAAATAATGCATTAAAGAAGAAACTTATATACATCTCTAAGACTCAGTTTCCTCATCTGTGAAATGGGCATATGGTAGCATGAAGATTAAAGGAGACAGATAATACAACTGAGTGTCAAGAACATTATTAGCCATTCAGTAAATTACGGAAATTATACAACCTACCCTCCACCACCAATATTTGACCTCACACATCCAGCTGCCTACCAGCTGGCCTCCTTTCCTAAGGAATCAAGGCTGCCTGTAGAGGCCAGACCTGAGGAATCTGTACTGCTTGGTAAACAACAAAGGGAGATGATGACCTCTTGGCTTTACAGGGAGGGCTTGGATCAAGTGGCCCACGTTTGATCAGCCAGTCTCAGCCAGGCTGAGGTTCAGTGATGAAAGAGGTTGTCGATGGCTAAACAGAAACAGCTCTTTTGGAAAGGGGCTGTCCAAAGGTGCTCAGGTCAAGTGGAAAAAGACAGGGAGGGGTTCCATCTGTGCTAGAAAACAACAATGGGCAAAAGGGGCATTTTGGATCCAGGTGAAGATCCTACAGGATAGATATGAGAGAGTGAACAAGGTCAAACATGAACAAATTCACTTTTGGTTCAGGTAAAATTTTGTGCATGGGTGTGTGTGCCTGTTTGTGTTTGGCTGAAAAAAAAAATGAAGCTGTAAGGTAATATGGTAAAAAAAATACTGGTATTAATAGAAAACTCTAAGGTAATAGCTATTTAGAAAAAAAAGAACAATTCACGTAGTAATTTTGGAAAAAGTGTCTTAGTTCATGCTTATAAGTAAAAATACTATCTTATAGTTTTGTTTTTCCCATTAACTAGTTGTCTAATCTTTCCAATTCACTCAACCTCTCTGCACCTATTGCCTTAGTTTTGCAATGGGAGACTACCACCTGCTTGGCAAACGTCAAAGCTACTGGGAGAACGGGTGAAATGGGATATGAGGAAGCTTTGAAAAATGTCACAGCACTGTGCAAATTGAACCTCAATTTGCAAAACGGAGGAAAGCGCCTGCTAAAAAGCAGAGCTTCCCTGTGTGGACGGCCCACCCCACGCTCTTCCAGACCCTTGACCTTCATTCTCACAGTTAGTTCCCACAATGATCACAAGGTAAATGGGATTATCCTGCTTTTATAGGTGAAGAAATAGGGCTCAGAAGGGGTAACTTACCCAAGCCACATAGTTAGAAGGTGGAGGAGCCCAGAGCTATGGGCGTCCTGGCGCTTTTATGCTGCATCAACCCGTAACGACAGCACAAGTGAAGGTATTCTGAATTGAGGAGCTGCTCAACAAGTCCTCAGATGTAATCTCCTCGGAAGCCCCTGGTTACACTGATCATAGGCTGCCATGCTTAGCACTATCTTACTTTTGTATCTCTATCATCTGTAAGTTCATTGGGGTCTGGGTTCTCTAACCTAGAGCCTTGAATCTAGTACATGCTCCAAATAAAGCTTTGTAAAGTGGAGTTAAACATTTGGAAGAGAAATGTGTCCAATACACAAATGTACCTGTGTGTCAAAAAGCAGTGCTGCACCTTCATTTATTAGAAGATCCAAAGATGCAAAAGGTTTCTTATAAAGTCCTGTGGTGCAGGCTACCAATTTATTAGCCTCTTTACTATTTCCTCCATCTGAAGAAGGACAACAGCTTCCTTTCAGGATGCCACAGGCAGCAGAATAGGAGGAGCCCAAGTCAAGAAAGAAATAGAGGCTGGGTATGGAGGCTCACGCCGGGAATCCCAGCACTTTAGGAGGTCAAGGTGGAAGGATCACTTGAGCCCAGGAGTTTGAGACCAGCTTGGGCAACATGGGGAAACCCCATATCTACAAAATAATATAAAAATTAGCTGGATGCAGTAGTGTATGCCTGAATTCCCAGCTGCCTGGGAGGCTGAAATGGGAGGATCACCAGAGCCTGGGGAGGCTGAGGCTGCAGTGAGCCGTGATCAAGCCACTGCACTCCAGCCTGGGCAACAGAGTGAGACCCTGTCTCAAGGGAAAAAAAAAAAAAAAAAAAAAAAGGAAGGGGGCATTCAAATTCTCTGTTCTATCTCCTGGTAGAGATCTTACACATAGTAGGGAGCTAATAACAGCAACTTTTGATTCCCATGATTAAAGAAACTGTGGCCTAAGAACTAATGTAGCTGTCAGCAAAGGGCTTGGGAAACAGATACTCTCAAACCCTTCTTGTGGGAATATAAATTGGCAATTTATATGAAAACCCTAAAAGATGTACATGCCCTTTGGCCCACTGCTCCCATTTTTAGAAATTTATCCTAATGAAATAATAAGAATTTATTCTAAGTCTTGCCTATGTGGATATTCGCCTAGAAAAAAATTGGAACTCATGTAAGGGTCCAACAATGGGAATATTAAATAATGCATGTATGTCCATCAGATAAAATCTGATGTAATCATGTAAAATAATGACATGTGGGCCTGGTGTAGTAATCCTAGCACTTTGGGAGGCCAAGGTGGGCAGATCGCTTGAGGTCAGGAGTTTGAGACCAGTCTGGCCAACATGGTGAAACCCTATCTCTACCAAAAATACAAAAATTAGCCAGGCGTGGTGGCAGACGCCTGTAATCCCAGCTATTTGGGAGGCTGAGGCAAGAGAATCGCATGAACCAGGGAGGCAGAGGTTGCAGTGAGACGAGATCGTGCCACTGTACTCCAGCCTAGGCAACAGAGTAAAACTCCGTCTCAAAAAATAAAACAAAACAAAATAAAATAAAGACATGTTGAAGAAATATTTAGTGGTCTGGGAAATGCCCAGGATATAGTACATGAAAATGCAGGTTATAAAATGAGATTATTTTTTGTTCCTCTGTTTCACTGAGGTTTCCTCAATAAACATGCATTTTGTTTGAAACAGGAAAAAACCCGACCTTCTAAATGTCATTTCTAAAAAGCAGAAACAAGAAGCTAGCAGGAGGGTTAAACTTGCTCCTTCCCGAAGGGTCACACAGGAGGAAGACCCCAGACAGAGCTACAGATCAGGGGCCACCACAGGGTGGCAAATCTCTTCCTGGAGCCCCAAGGCTCAGCTCAGAGAGTTACGGGGGTCCTGCCGGTTCCTGTCCCTCGGTAAAGCAAGGCAGTCAGAAAGTCACTGTATTCCTGTCATTTTCCTTGAGCGTTTACTGGAATTAGAAGCCATGACTATGCTCTAACCTCCAGCCCTCTGTGGAGAAGGCAGGCACAGCATACGGTAAGTCTCTGGACGTGAGTCTCTATGAGAAATCGGGGAGGCAAGGACCCAGGGTCTCAGAAGACTAGAGGACAAAGAGGGTTCTGGGTGGCCTTGGGTAGGGGCTGGGGTGGGAGCCGAGGAAAGGACTTATGAGCCAGTGATGAGAGAGTAGAGCCCCAGGCCCAGGGAGGCAGACAGCAGGGCCTGCTGTGGCCCAGCGGCCAGGGCATTCCACCCCTGGGCTGCCCCCAGGCAAGGAGGTGGAAGGTTTGAAAGGTCTGAAATGTTTTAACCAAGGGAGTGACTTGGTCAGTGCTGGGTCCTACACAGATTCCTCTGGTGGTTGTATGGACAACCT